GCTCCAGCTATCAGCGGAGTCACGAGGTCGAACACACGTTGAAAACCCTAGTACACCATGTGCGAACTCGATAGCCGGGCGCCGAACGGGGACAGACGCACTAACAGCAACAAAACAGTACTTCCTCTGCAGGCCAGTGCATAATGCAGACTGAAGGCAAAATGAGGCAATAATTTAAAAAAAAAAAAGAAGGAGTGAGATTTCGTACCGCCTTCCTGAGCCTCAGCCAACGAAGAAGTGAGCCAGTGATCGGCCTTGTCCAGACATTGCATCGCCTCCTCGGAGAGGTTCAGGCAGGAGTAGAGGGTGGCGATCTCCTCCTAATGAGCAAACCGCAAGGCAGCACAAGGACGCACAGCAGGTAAAGACAAAGTGAAACAAGTCAACTCGATGACAAGAACATCAATCTGAAGGTAATTTACGTGATTAAAGTCTAAGTGTGTGTGTCTCCTTTAAAATTCAACGGTGTCGATGAGGAGACATAAACAAGACCGCAACTTTATCTTGCGTACAGAATAGTCTTTGAATACCGGTTAGTGGCCGACCTCGTACAATGTTAGCTGAAATACTCAAATGTGTTTTCGAGTAAGAGGGTTGCAAGATCAAGCGACGCGTGGTATAATCCCATAATGTCGCAGACAGTACAGAATACGGGCTCTTTAATGCGTTCCTTTTCGGCTTCAAAAACCGCACTCTATATTAAATGCTTATGTACGTAATAGGCATATTGCCATTTATTTTCGATGTTCTTATAATTAAGTTTAATAGAGAACATACACAACACTATCCTTACTTGTACTCATTTGACAGCAAACCACTTCTTCTTTGAATCTTTAATTCGAAGAAAGTTATCCTTCGATTTTTAAGTGTATACCTGAGCCTAATCGAGGGCTGCTCGCTTTTCAGCCGCAATAAAGAAAAACGACCTCTTTCAGTTTTCTGCCGCATCAGCGCATTTTTTAGCCACTGTGATACCAATAGGTAGCGTAAAGGAGTTTGCTTACCTTTTCCCTTAATAAGCCGAACTGAACTGCGTTTCTTTAAGACTGTACAATGTCACTTAAAATAGCATTGTCTCCTTCCGTTTAATAACGTCTCTCAAGATAACTTTGCTGGAATGAAAGGCTTTCAAAAACACTCATTTGCAGACATCTCTTGTGCAGTACAATATTGCTGACGACATAATTAGTAAGTTAGACTGCTCCATCAGGGCGGTTGCTGTGAACTGGAGTTGGACCCCGGACTAAAGTGAGTAACCAATCTCATGAAATGTCAATCAACGTCTGGAGTGCGTTTAGGAAAAAAAATTACTTAACTTAGATTGTAAGGTGCATAATTGTGCGGTATAAGCTCATCGTTTTTCAAATGTGCTAGAATGCCGGATTTTCAATACACTGCTTTTCGGCTGCCGAGAAAACCACACTGAGTAAACGTGGCTCCTGAAGTAGTGTGTACTTTTCTAGTCATTTTGAGGGCATCATTCATTATAATATATTTATCTGAAAACATGCACACAAAACATATTATCTACTGGTCCCGTTAGGCAGCAAGTCAAGTCTCCTTCAAATTTTATATTCGATCGTGTGGTTTGAGAGAGTTTAATTATGCCCAGTCAAATGGCATACTATCTGTCCTTGCGTTAATTACCTCCATGAAGTATGGAAGATTGTCCACATCCATATAGTGTCTTCTCGCAGGCGTAAAGGAGTATGAACAAGGCAAAGACTACGAGAATAGTAGAAGTTAATGGCGTCGTGCAGTCTTCTGACCTCTATTCAACTGCATACGGCCATTGCCTACTGATATGGTAAACTGTCCAATTAATTATAGATCTAGAAGGCTGAAACGTGATAGGTATATAGGGCAGCAGCTATTGGTCTCAGATACGGGTGGGCATTGTGATGCGGTAGGAGGAGGGGGAGGCACGTATCGAAGCAAGACGGTTCACGTTACACTGGAAGCCTGCCAAGAGTGATTAAAAAGGGGGGGGGCAAAGAATAGGGCACGAAATTGCGTGACATCATTCAACTCTGCTAGTCGGTGGGAGGATAAAATCGATCCAAGTGTGATTAAATTCACGGCGCACGGCGTGGCGTCTTAGCTCAAGCGGTAGAGCGTTGGCTGCGTAAACGCTTTCCCTGCTATGCGGGTTCGAATCCCGCCGGCGCCGCGAGTTTTTTCATAAATTTGGTCAACTAAATTCTGCTAGTCTTGTGGTCTGGGTTTCAATAGAAGAGAAAATTACTCTTCACACATTGAAAGTACAGTGGAACCTCGGTTAAGGAGTTTAATCGGTTCTGGCCCTGAGCTCTTCTTGCGAAACGAGAGAGCTCGCAGCCAATCAAACTGTACCAGTTCACTGATTGGTTGCAGACGACCGAAGACCCACGCCCTGAGAACAAGACTCAACAGCGGACACAGACAGACACACACACATGCATTGACAGCTGTTTAACTGAGCGGAAGCTCGTCAATCGAAACATTTTTTCTGCTAGTGCCTCGCTAGTTAACTGATATGCTCGCAGATGGGCCTGCTCGTCACCCGAGGCCCCACTGTATACGGCGTTTAGGCTGCAAACCTTAAACGTAAATGCAACGGCAGGCCAGGCTTACAACTATTAAGGAATTAAAAAAACTGTTTGAAGTCTAAAACTACCCTTTTTGATCGCAATATCTGAAGGGGACGTGAGACAAATGTGGGCAGACCGTCTCAACTGACCCACTGCTTTCGTATGCTATTGGTGGAAATAGTAGCACGTCCAATTTATATTCACCAAAAAATGGGCACTTCACCTCAGGTCTTCCACTTTACGCCGGCGTTATACAGATTATCTCAGTGTGAAGCTGTTCATCTGTCTCACAGTGACGTATGTAAAGAGTAAAACACTGGTATTCGCACTAGAATGGACACACCCCGACCTGACTGACGTCCCAGCTAAAACTAGCTCCGTCCTCTGGTAGCAAGGGTTCTAAACAGACAACCAATTACCGGACTGATTGACAGTAGGCATCACAAGAAAGTTTAATTTCACAGTGCTGACCACCCTAGACTTTGCCTTTCGTCTAGTTTTGAGAAAGTAGATGCTAGTTCGACCACAACGCTACCTTGACCAAGCAATGGAACATGCTACACAAGCAAACGAATGCACGCTATCGCTGTTGCGCTTATTCATGGTGGTCAAATTTTACTCCGGTGTAATGAGCCCCCGGTGTCCTGCGATACAAATTATAATTTCTAAACAGGGGAAGTGAAGTTGTGCAGTTTTTACTAACAAGCGGTATGTCGCGGTTTTTTTCCACCACAAACCAGAGTCTTACAAATGTATTGCGACGGCGAGGCCACATAGCACGATGTGCGGTAAACACTGCAGATCTATATCAAGAACTGATAGGGCAAAATACTTGCTGTGAGAACTAGCTAACCCAAGACTGTGAAACACCTGGTCCAGTTAAATAAGAAAGCAATCCATCAGTCGGAACGCTTGCCTGACTGAGCTTTTGGATTCGCACAGACCTCAACAGGTAGATATAAGGCAGGGGCAACGAGATGTGCAGTATTGGCGAAAATGTTTAGCCAATCATCGCGCAGCTTTGCTTTGGGTTTGCATATGACACTGTATACTGGGAATCGATATGCCGATCGGCCGAATTCCAACGTCTGATTGCAGCGTTTAACCAACTTTCGTCTAACTAATCGAGCAGCTCTAACTGAACTAATTGCACAATGTCCTAAATCTGTCTTTTTTGTCAAGAAAATTAGATCGGATATAGTTGTATTGGGTTGAAATCGAGAGGCGAAGGCCAGTATTATATATATTTAGATAAAAGATAGCTTTCAGTTTTCCCATTTGTCTGTTGACCACGCTATCTAATTCAATAATTCTCTGTTATAGTACTGGAAAAAAATAGACAAGTATGACTTAGTTTTCTGTCATATCCATACGTCATTGGACTGCTTTTTTTGGTGTTGTTGGCAGATCTTAACTTGAGAAGGTATTAAATGAAAGTTAGACCGTCGATTTCGATGGTGCCCACCGCAAGATGGTGCAGGGACGGTGACTTGCGCTGGATTATAGTGAAAGTAGACCTTCGAAGCATCTATCTCACTCTCTCTTCTCTCACCCACCTGGGTCCGGCGTCAAGACATTGTCAAGAAGACCGGAAGCGGGATCGGGCGCGCCATGACACCTGGCTAGGATCTCACCTACGTGGAACTGATATAACGGCCACATTAAGGAGTCATTACAGCCTAACCCTGAGGAGAAGATATTAGCATAAGTTGAAAAGGCACAACCGGCGTTGCGAATAGAGACACCGGCAGATCGACGAAAGTTCAATAAAAATTACCTGGCAGTCCAGAAAATCCATAAAATCCCAATCAGCTTCACTGTGAGAAGCAAGGAGAGACTTGGCCGTGTTTTCAGCCGTATCTAGTTTGGAGCCCAAGGCACGCAGTATGAGATTGCGCATCTTTGACAGTAAAGACTGCCATGCGCCGGATGCGGACTGAAAATCCGTCGGCACGTCTACCAACCTGCGCAAAGGATACAATAAGCAGATCTTTTAAAAGGACCAAACGACGAAAACTAACAAACTAAAGCACATATTTGTGGCTACAAGGTACGATTGCAATTAAGAGGCTTTACCTGTCGCTGGCGTCGATCATAAAGTCCATCTTTAGCTTGTGGAGTACCGAGGATTTGGCCGGAACCTTCTTATCCTTGTTCGAAATAGTCACGATCAGTGAATTATTGACTTTTTGGGTAGACAAAAATTCGAGCCACTGCTTCAGGTCGGCTTTCCCCTTACTTGTATAGTATTCAGGATCCTACAAAACGGAGACGGCGCGTGGGGTTAACGAAACTACTGCCGGCACGGAAAAGGGGCGGTAAGTATAAATACTGGTCCCTTTTAGATATGAAAGTGTGTAGGATGAAAGCTACTGAGACATACATTTGGGCAAATAAAAACGTAGGCAGCTGGAGGGGAGAACTTGGTGGGTCTGCCCTTGCTTGTGGAGCCGCTTTTAGCTGTATCCAGGGGCATAAAGGTTGGGTCCACATGCACTGTGTAGGTAACAAGACTCGGATTTCGACTCCATTCTATCGGCTGGGCGGTGAGGCTGGAGGTGCAGTACTTCTCAACAATGGACGCACTTTCCGGTTCACCGGAGTCTAGGTGAGATAAAAGTACAATGATTAAGTGTCAGTATGTGCCCGCAGGCTAGCATGCACTAAATTGCTCTTCAAATAAAGAAACCAGGACTACGGGATAGAGATATGTAGCACTAGTTGGCGGAATGAAATAAACTAGGGTTAGATTTGGAGACACAGACTAGCATAAAATTTAACACCAGCGTCTCACATTTAGTGCCATGGACAACCGGCTCACCCCAGTGTTTTACGTTTCCTGATGTCCGTCACCAGAAGAAATTACTTTGTCGAGCCTCAGGTCTGAAAGTTTGATCGTTGGTTTTGACAAGGTCTACTGTGTTCATTACAGCAAGGTGGCGCAGGGACGGCAACTTGCTTCTGAATTAATATACAGTAGTCGCCGGTTATTAAGCCCACGGTTAATAGGTCCAGCCACGTACTAAGCCCACATCAGCTTGGGACGGAATTTTACATAGCAAAATCCGCC